ATGAGTGATTTAGTTTTATACAGTTCGACAAATCTATTAAAATGTTCAGTGATTTCTTCTTCATTGATTTCATTTGACTCTTCGTCAGATTCCGTTTCATTCGAAGCTAATATTGATATTTTCTTATGAAAATTCGCACATTCTTTAAAATAATTGATTTTAATTCGAGAAAGGGCGTCCGCATTTTTGTTGGTTTTTCCCGGTTTATGAATAATTTTATAATTGTATTCCTCAAGCTTGAGACGCCATCTAGCTAGTCTGCTTCCAGGGTCTTTTATAGAAAATAACCAGGTGAGTGGACGGTGATCAGTTACTAGGGTGAATTTTCTACCGAACAGATAGGGTCGGAAATGTTTTACAGCCCATACGATGGCAAGGAGCTCTCGCTCAAAGGTCGAATATCGTGTTTCAGCATTACACAGGGTACGTGAAGCATATGCTATAGGAAGATCTTTTCCAATGGGGCCTTGGGATAATATAGCGCCGATGGCGAATGCACTTGCATCTGTTGTGAGGACGAATGGTTCCTCAAAATTTGGATAGGTTAGAATTGGGTCAGAAATTAAAGCGTTTTTTAAATCTTGAGAGGTTTAGAGAGTTTAGCAAAATTGGGAATAAAACGACGATAGTAACCGGCTAGACCTAGGAAAGATTTTATTTCTTTTGGTATTTTCGGTTCAGGAAATCGTTGGATACAATCGACTTTAGAAGGGTTAGGCTTGACGCTATCTTGGGTAATGAGATGTCAGAGATACGCCACCTCTTTTCTGAGAAATTCACATTTATCAGGCTGGATTTTAAGATTTGCCTTTAGAAGACGTTTGAAGACTTCAGTAAGACGGTAAAATGTGTTCGTGAATGGTAGGGGAGTATACTATAATGTCGTCCATATAGACAAGACATCGTTCGTTCAAAATACCTAAAAGAATATTGTCCATGACACGCTGGAATGTGGACGGTGCATTTTTAAGTCCAAAAGGCATACGAGTAAATTCATAATGTCCGTTTTCCACAGAGAAGGCTGTTTTAGGAATATCTTTGGGATCGATTTCAATCTGATGAAATCCGGAGGCAAGATCGAGAGTTGTGAAATATTGACATTTTCCAAGCTGGTCTAAGAGATCGGAGATATTAGGAAGAGGGTATTTATCGTCAATGGTACATTCATTGAGTTTGCGGTAGTCTATTACTACTCGCCATTTTTGTTCTCCAGAAGAGTCCATTTTTTTGGGAACAACCCAAACAGGAGCTGACCAAGGAGAAGTAGAGGGCCGGATGATACCTTCGTTGATCATTTTATTTACTTGAGATTTAACTTCCTCTTTGTGGACCTGAGGACATCTGTATGATTTCGTAAAAATGGGTTTGGCGTTATTAGTTTCAATTTGATGTTTAATCTCACTGGTGAAAGTAAGATTGTCTCCTTCTAAGTAAAATATGTCTTCGTAATTTAAGCAAAGATTTGTTATGAGTTCTTGTTCTTCCTCGTTAAGATGTTCTGTTCGAAGTCGAGATTTGATTTTGTTTGTACGGTCAATTTTATCAGGACAATAATTTTCCAAGTTATCGTTTGACTGGAAATTTAGGATCGGGTAGTTTAAATAGGGTTCAATTACTATATCGGAAAAGTCGATAATTTTGGGAATTGCATTTGCGTTTACTACGGATGTCAGAAATTCTCCTTTTTCATTTACGTGTACTAACGCGTTGGGGATATGGACTTTTTCTTTTTCTTTTCTGTGCAAAATTGCATCTGTATTCGACAGATGACATTTTAATTTGAATATTTGTTCGGATCTGGGATCTATTTTAATTTGATTAGGGGGTTCATTGTTACGCGAATTAGTTTCTACTTTGTGGAGAGGTAATGCTTTAAAGTTTGTAATTAGTTGCTTGTTTTTGAGGTCTATCGTACACTCGTAATGTTCTAAGAAATCGAGGCCTAAGATTCCATCGAAATCAATATCTAAATTATAAATGAAGACCTTATGGGGGTTTCCCACTTGAAACGGGACTAAAGTTGATTCAGTGACAAGAATTTTTTGGTCTGTAATACCCTGTATAGTAATTTGTTCGGGAAAACGTGGTTTGAAATTTTTCACGGTATTTTCTTTAAAGATAGAGATACCAGCACCGGTATCGATAAGTAATTTAAACGTATTTGATGCGTCTTTTATATAGTACAGGTTTTTAGAGTTTACAGCAAGAAGAGGGCTTAAAGAAAAGTCTGTTCTGGAAAGTTCAGAGATGGGTTCATGTCGTCTAAATTCAGAGTTTGTATCTGATTTTGTATTTGAGACAAAGATTCGTTCATTGAACTGGTATTGTCTGGTGGGTGGTTCTGATTCGGGACTGTGAGAAAATCCTGATAGTCTTGGCTATCAATTAAATCGGTTGATTGATCAAATGAATGGTAATAATCGGGAGGTGAATAATTATTATCAGAGAAATCTTCGTATTGGTAGCTTTCATTTAAAGCTGAAGTATAGTCGTTAATATAGTCAGGCTCATAGTTAACGAAATGAGCTCTGTGCCTATCGTTTGAAAAATTAAGATTTTTATGGATTACAGAAGGGCGTACTTGTGAATTATTTTGATTTGGTGTGAATTGAGGTCTTTGTTGGTCATTGTGTCTATTGTTTTGAAAATTATTATTTGAGCTGAAAGTTGGTCTCTGAAAGCCATTGCTTTGAGTGTTATTGAAGTTTTGATGGCTATTAAAATTTCGAGAATTGTTAAAATTATGAGAGTTGTTGGAATTCTGCGAATTATTTTGGGAATTTTGTCGAGAACGACATTCGTTGTACGAGTGGCCCATACGTCCACAAAATGTGCATCTATGTGGTTGGAGGTTTGGTCTTCTAATGGGTTGATTATCTTGATTGGGTTTTGGAGGATTGGATCTATTGATTTTTTGTATTTCGAAATAGGATAATTGTAACTCTCGTCTGATGCGGACTTGAGCTTCAAGAAGGTCTTTTGGATTACTAGCACGAATAATATGAGCGATTTTTGGATCGAGGCCGGTCAATAATGTATTGAGCGCCATTGATTCAATTAATACAATTTGGGCCTGTTTTTCTAGAGCAGAGAGGCTAGATTTCTGTATATTGGCGTGCATTTTTGCATTAAGGACTTGGACACGATTAAAGAATGTAAGAGCCGATTCATTTGGAAGTTGTTTGACTCTTTGTAAATCTTGTATCAAAGAAGATAAGTCTCTAGTGTCTCCAAAATGAGAGGTAGACATATTGTAGGCATAATCACAAGCATTTAAAAATGTGTGTAGAAATATCTGATCGCCTTCAAATTCAGGTACGATAGAAAATATTTCGGATAATTTGTAAGGTTCTATTTCAGGCTGGTTCTCATTACGAGAAGCGGGACGAAAAACGTTGCCGTTATCATTCATGGTGGTTAATAAATCAATAAACGAAATAGAAATAAAAATATAAGATAATGGATTAATTAAAAATAATTAATTAAATATAAATATCAAATAATAAAACAAAATGTAAATATCAAATAATAAAAAAAAATGTAAATATCAAAACAATAAATCGAAAATGTAAATATTAAAATAATAAGTCAAAATATTGGAAAAGTATTTTTCTAAGACAGTGTCTGATTAGCAGAATAATCGACACACGTAATCGTTTAATAAAATGAAAATAAAAAAGTTGACGATTTACAGAATAATCGCCAAAAGTTTATAATTATTAAAGTAATTATCAAAAAATATTCAAATTTGGCATAAAATTATTAATTAAATGAATATTTTATATTGGAATATCGAACAGTATATGGTAATAAATGGTATCAAACAAAAATTATATACGAGATGATTCAGTATTAGACTTACATTAGTTCCAAAAACATCTAGTCGTCTTGTTCTCGACAGCTAATCTACCAGGGGCTTCACTTGGTGTTCCTTCCGTAAATGTCTGCAAAGTTAGGGCGGCACTGCTTTTTGGAGTTTTCTGGTTCTTTTTCTGATTAAAGGATTGGAATCCACCGTTGTCAGTTAGGTTCTCCTTGTTCTGCCAACGTTTCCAGATCCTACTGCGACTGCGCCACTTTTTATATCACGAAATACTTTTTTGACTTTTTTAAAAAATTTATTTATTACAAAATACAAGTTACGTGGTAAAAATGAATGAAATATAAAATATAATGAATGAACTACAAAAATATACTGAATACTGAATTAAGAGCGACAAGCGGTTTTATAATATTAGTAAATGCTGACTCAGTGGGAACGTGTAAAAAGCTTGGGTCCCGCTGACTCTGCTGGTACTGCATTTGCAAGGATCCTTATCGGCTCAGGTTGTTGGAAGTGGAACCTGATACCCTGGGAATCGTCGTGATAAGGAACATCGGTTGGTACAATGCATATAACAGCTCCCCCTTTTATAATATATATATTATCGTATACCCGTAATAATACAGCACGCGTCCCGATTTTTTGAATCACGCTAAATAGGCTCTCGGACAAGTGCAAAAAGCAAAAACAATATACCAAACAATAAGAAGTATTCACTTCAAAAATCTTACCAATAAAGTGTGCAGTTACAACCAAAAATCCTTTTGACGTATTTGTCACTGTACGGTTGTGAACGAAAAGTGAGTCACTTCCTAAAATTTTACCCGTATCATGTCCGGTCATCACGTTTAGTATTTAAAATCAAATAGCGATCTTACATTGTTTATATTTAAAAATGACGTTTATTATTTTGTACATTTTGTTTTTTATATATTGTTATTATAAAGTTTATCAAAAGCAATGTTTAGATATCTGTATCAAGAAGTGTCACAAAAAAGGCTTTTTATTTGCTAGTTTTTTTTTGCATTTTTTCGTAAATATTCATCAGTAACTCTGTGTAATATCTTACAAAATAATTTCATTGAAATTGATTTATTTCAATTCTTTACAGTTATTGCTATTTAATATATCAACATTTGTTTTTGTGTGTCAAATATTAATTTTTTTATTATTTTAGGAATTGTTCTGTTTTGCATGTCCAACATGGGATGCGGCATTCGATGATTTCTTAGCTTCACAAGATTATAGCAAATATGATCAACTACTAGCAACTCTCACGGAGAAAACCGGAGAACCATATAATAATTTCGTGAAACCATACTTTCTATATTTTGGATTTCGAATTTTGGTAAGAAAAATAGGTTTATTGTTTGTTTATTTAACGGGATGAACCCTTTTTCCTTACAAAAATTACAATATAGACATATAATTAACAAAAAAACTGTAGTCATATATTACAATTTTAAAAAGTATTAATAACATTAATGTCTCAATTTCTTTAAACTGTTCTTGAACGAGGACACGGATAAATTAAACAATTCAACACTATCTTGCAAATTATTGGCAGTTCTCAACATCCTTGTGATTGACTCACTTTTACCATAATTAGTGTGATGAAACTTTAGTCTAAACAGGTCAGGAGAGCGTGTTCTTCTAGAATTTACATTAAAAACAATTAATTCCAGCAGTTCCGGACAATCAACATAACCATTAAGAATTTTATGCAAAAAGCGCAATTCACACTCAGATTCTCTATTTTCTAAAGTTTTCATATTAAGTTGACAAAGAATATAGTTATAATCACAGTTAGTTCTATTAAAACCCATTTTATACCTGCAAATTCTTAGGAATTTATTTTGAACTCGTTCCAACTGATCAATATACATATTATAATATGGATACCAAATAATATTACAATATTCCAAAATGGACCGAACTAGAGAACAATACAAAATTTTGAAAGTAAATATTGAAAATTCTCGAGCGTTCCTTTGAACAAAGCCGAGCATTCTATAAGCCCGCGATGTAATATTATTAATATGCCTATCAAACATTAGTCTTTGGTCAAATGTAATTCCAAGGTCTCTAATTTGATTTACTTCTGTAATCGATACTCCCTTAAGTATGTATGTTCTATATAACTGATGTTTAGTATTTCTGGAAAACGTAATTTTATAGCACTTTTTTATATTTAAATATAAGGCATTAATGTCACACCAACGAGATAAATTATTTAAGTCAGACTGAAGAGCATCCATATCAGAGGTATTTTTAATTGCTTTAAAGATCTTTATGTCATCAGCAAACAATAGAAATTCACTATTATTAATTACTGATGATATATCATTCACAAACAGATTAAATAGAAGTGGGCCTAAGTGAGAACCTTGAGGTACACCCGAAGTAACATTAATCGCTTCAGAAACAAAATTACCATATTTTACTATTTGTGAACGATCTGTTAAATAACTCGTGATCCAATCCAATAAATTATCTCCAATTCCGTATCCACGAAGTTTAGCAATTAATATTTCGTGATTTACCCTGTCAAATGCTTTGGCAAAATCAGCATATATGGAGTCAACTTGGTTTCCCGATTCCATAGAATCAACAATGAAGTTTGAATACAAAATAAGATTTGTACAAGTAGATTTCTTTTGATAGAAACCATGTTGTTGACCGAGAATTAAATTTTTACAATCGTAGGTTAACATATGGTTAACAAAAAAATCAAGCAACTTTGGTAGTTCAGACTGCAAACAAACAGCCCTGTAATTTTCAACATTATTATTTTGACCAGATTTAAAAATGGGTTTTAAAAAACTCACTTTCCAAAAATCAGGAAATAAAACATGTTTAAAACATTTGAACTTATAAATACCAAATATAGCTCGCTGAATTAATTATAACTATTTATTATAGTTAGTACCGAGAAAATTATAAATTATAGTTTATAGGCCAAATAAAAAAGTGGCTGCCAAATTCGATGAATTCATGGCATCAATAAAGACGCAGTAGCAATTTACCCCATGAACTAAATGTATGCATATTAAAATTTAACCAGGAAAGTTGGTCATGTTCTAATATAGGACAAGTATATATATATATATATATATATATATATATATATATATATATATATATATATATATTTGTTGCAAAAAATAGAAAAAAATATATCAATGTAGCAGGTAAAATAAATGTAAAATATATCCTATAGGTGTCATAACAAACAACAATAAAACAACCTTAAGAGGTGAGACTATGGACTTCGCTATGGGCTTTCACTTCCTCTAAGTGGAAAATTCACTCATCCCAGATACCTACGGTATCAAAAGTATTGACCTCTGGGGGGACTCTTGGGCAAGTGGTCGAGCCCTAGCAGCTTGGTAAGTCGGAGTGTCTCCCCAACAATTTCATTTTCTTATGCATCTGGATGTTGAGAGTAGTATCGCTTTCTGCATGGTCTTTAGAAATATTCATTAAAATGCAGCTGTATTATGTTCTCTAAGAGGCTCTTCGGAATTACTCCAGTAGTTTGGAGAATAATAAGTATCATCTGGCTACTTTCCATTCTCTATTGTCTCTAAAAACATCTTTCATGATGTCAACCAATAGTTCGACATTAAATCGTCGACATATTCTTGACGGATCTCATTGATATGTCTTTCATGCAGAGGGTTATTTATCATGGTGTGTACTTTTTTCTGTTTAGAAAGGTGGTTTATGGACATTTCTAGTTCCCTCAGTTGAAGCGGCGTTGTGCCATCTACTGCAAAAATTGGGCGATGTAAAGTCGATTTCTTAGCCTGAGTCTGAAAACAGGTTCTTAAATTAGCAAACTGTTTATCCAGTTGCTCACCTATGTCCATAAGTCTTCTTCACTCTAGATACAGCGGTAATGTTGTTTTCTCTATTGCACTACGTAATGAAGTTTTTGTGCCTTTGTGAGAAGTGTTTTTACTTTCTGAAGACTTTCTATTTAAACCACTTTATAATAAAAAATGAGTAGCTTAGCGAGAAACAGGCGTACATATTTAATGCCCTGAAAAAATTTTTACGATTAAGATGTGACCTGTTTAGCTCTCTTACTTTTCGCACAAACTCGAAAGTTAGTTCAGTTTTTATTTGTTTATTGCCAATTTTTTGCACTTGCGTCACTTCGATATATTTGTATACATCATTTTCATCCATTGCCTTGATATTTTGGCCCTCTTGCAGATTCATAATCTTCTTGCACATTCTTGCATAAGTCGTGTAAACCTATGAAATATATAAAAATTATTATTAAAATTTATTTTTTCTTATTAGAAAAATATGTCGCATCCACCAAAAGGTTATTAGCGATGGAACAAAATATAAATCAACAAATTTAAACACCTACATATTGTACAAATTATTTAGGGATCTGAGATAATTCACTATATTGTCACAGGAACAGTGTTGGCCTAGAGCCTGTGGTAGAGCGTTTGGAATCTTGTGGCGCTGTCTTTCTTGGTCATATTTACTACAAATTGTTAAAAAGTGTCCGACTGTTAATCGGACGTTACACTGATAACATATAGGTGGATTTTTTTTTGTGAAAAGGTAGGAGTGCGTTAATCTGGTATGTCCTAGACGTAAACGCGCAACCGCAATGTGTTCTCGTCTATTGCGCGACGATGGAAACCACTGAGACACAGTATTTTTGATTTTATTTAGATTGGAATTAGTTTGAGACCACTCATTTCGTCACACATACCACATTTTATTTTTAAAATAAGCTTTTAAGTCACTGGAAATACATTTGTCTATCCACTTCGACAAATCACTTAAAATTGCCTCTCGTGCAGTCCTGTCAGCTTCTTCATTTCCTGTTATTCCGACGTGTGAGGAAACCCATAAAAATTGGACGCTTCTTGCATGTTCATGAGCTTGGGAAAGCTGGTATTTTGGCAACTTTTCAAAAAGATGTTTATTATGATCAGGGCTTTTGTGAGAGTAATTAAGAAGTTTCACAGCACGGTATATGGCGTAGAGTTTAGCTAAATTGCATCTGTAGCTGCAACTGAAGCTGTAGCATAGGGAGGCGATGGAAAAATCCATCAATGTTCCATTAAAGTATCGAGTTGAATGTTGTTAACAGATTCGGAGTTAGATGATACTGAACAATTGTCTACAGACGAGTCACTATCGAAGTCAAAAATCTCTTTCCCTAAATGGTTGTGTAGTTTCTTTTCACGTTTTGTAAACTTGCTTTTTGTAGATCTATCATTTGCATAATGATAGCTGTTTTGTAAAAGATGGAGTTAGCCAGCCATATCGACGGTGTCACGACAGAAAGGCATAAGCACCATTGACAGTTTTTTTCAGGAGACACAAAAAATGTTTAATATCGCTAAATATTTATTTTTTTTTTACTTTTTTTTTTGAACTTTTATTATTATTGGACTGAGGCATTTTGACTTACCATATGTTAGTTATAAAAAAATTATTATAAACATGAAATATTTAACATTTTGGTGCTTACGCCTTTAATGTTAGGGTCTGTGGTGTATAAGCCTCTTTGAAAAGCGGTTACCATATTTGGAAAAAAATAGTTTGATCAAAAAATGTCGCTAAGGATCTTTTACGCCTTTTAATTTTACGGAATTATAACAAAAATGGAGAATAAATGTTTTCATTTTAAAACATAACAATTAACTAAAAATAATACAAAATAAACAATACACAAGATGTTTATGAGTTTCCTAGAGTTATATTGGTGTAAAAAAATATCATACAAAAATTAAGTTAATATAATTATCACGTTATATTAAGTATAACAAGAAAATAAACTGAAAGAGTATTCAAAAAACAACAAAAAAAAAAACTATTAAAACGTACCATTTTTTATGTGAAACCTTTATCCTTTCTAGGTACATGAATACCAATGACATTAACGCAACCATTAATAAATTTTTTCTTATCTAAATTATTACCTAGGTTCCAAAATTTTTAAGAATACTATTTCTGTCCTCAGTACTAAAGCTATTACATTGATTGACACATTTTTTGCCTAAACATCACAACAGCAAAACTTTTTCAGCAACACGTTCGATCTTATAATTACAGTAACTTTTCCCCAAGCTACGTAACCTTCAATAACGTAATAAATTAATTTTCTTTTTTTTCTCTTTTGTCCTCTACCTACAGGTTGAGTGCTTTGAGATGAACTACCTGATGCTTTACTAGAAATTGAACCAGTTGATGGGCTAGAACTAATGCTGTCAATTTCAATTTCATTTTTAAGAAATACTGTCAAGGATGATAAATCTGATTCGGAGTTTAAAGAATCATTATGTTTTATAAAATCATTATAACCTATTT